TGGAAAGGTGGGTCTTCCAGCAGAAAGACTAGAGATTTTATGGTCTTGACCAGTTAAACTTATGGGACTATTTGCTACTCTAATAGTAGGAAGATGTCAGGATTCCTAGATTCTGTGACCTTCACAGAGGATCAGAGGACAGTCCCACCCTCTTCTGGTGGGAATGCCATCCTGAATGGTGTCCCATCTAGAGGGACACCCCATCCTGGATGCACACTCCATCCTAGAGCTTCACACTTCAAGAGCAAGCCTCCCCTTTCCACCTTAGTGATGGAAAGTCTATCAAATCAAATTAAAAGTTAGTTCCTTATCCATAGCCTTGGAATCTCCTCCTTACCCTGGAAGAGATAAAGAAAAATATGCTTCTCTTTTAAATCAACAGCTTAAAATGTGAGATAAATCCTCCTGTCCTAACCTGTTTTTAACAAATAGACTCGGCTGTCTGGTGGCATGATGCATGTTTGACAGATCTATTTATCTATTCTGTTTCCTTAGAGATAGCAGTAAGAAGTTTTATCTGTTATTGGAACCCTCCCCCACTCTCATTTTCCTAACCAAGCATGTGGAGCCAGCAGTTGATGGATGAATGGTGTTTGGGATAAAAGGGGCCAGAATCAGATCGTTTTCAGGATGTGAACAAACTGGCTTATTAACAAGGAGTCATTGGAGAGGAGGTGATGGAGGGAGGCTGAGTGGATCCCAGACAATGGCCAGTGATGGATGGAGGAAACACCTGGGGTTGCAAGGTGCGGACTTCAGATAACTGGTGGATGCTGTGGGGTGATAATGGGAGTGTCTGGGCTCGGAGCCGACTCTTACTAGGAGGCCAATGTCAGGCCAGCCACTTGACTCCTTCTGACAATCCTCCAAGAATTCCTCACTGCACACACAGTCACAGTTTCTTCTCTTTTTCCCTCTCTGTAAAATGCATCTCCAGTCAAGGAGACAGTTGCTAGGAAGGGTGGAAAGAGGCAGATAATCAGCAAGGTTACTTTGTTTAGCACCAAAATGGGAAGGCAGTGTACATCTGCCTCATGCCAGATACTTTTGGTTATGCCATCCCTTTGTATGTGTCATGTCATTTAATTGTCACACTTGTGTCACAAATGTGCCACATAGAAGAAGGACATTAAGGAAGAGAGGATCAATGACATGACTAAAGGAAATGGTGGCCTTGGGTCTCCTTGTTCAGTCTGCCACAAAGACCTCCAAATGCATTTGATTTGTGTACTGACGGGATAACTGACCAGGGCTCTCTCTCATCTGTTCTATGTGAGGGCATGTGCACAACTGCCCTGTGATGAAGCTGGATCTGTTTCTCCTTCTGTAGGAGATCACACAGGACAAACATAGTAGCCTTGGACTGTATGGGTTACTTTGGAGCTGTGTGGTCTCGGGAATGTCACTCAGTCTCTCTGAATTTCTGTCTTGTCACCTGTCAAAGGCAGATAATACATCCTCCTCTTGCAGGCACTGAGAGGATTAAGCTGGATTAGGTTTGTCACTGGTAATGGCCTCTGCAAATATTAGTTATTATGCTGTTACATTTCCTTTAATAACCCAGAGCTTGGGACAGAAAAGCCCTCAATGTCATTTATTGAGACATCTCCTAGGAGCCAAGTGATTTGATGTTTTTTTATTCTCCTATGTTGTAGTAGGTTTTGCACTGAGATGTCTTTAAAGCATTTTTAAATGACTTTTAAAAAATCTCAACAAGCTGGGCCTCTTGATGTTTTGAGAATCGCTGAAATGATCATGGCAATGACACAGCTAAGTGTGGAGTATGTGGTGGCCCCAGGGGTCTCCTGAACACAGGGATGCTTGTGATGCTTCCCAGGAGACACTTATTGTACCCTTCTCACAAGTGAGGAGCTGGAACACAGGCGATCCAGGGCTTGCTCAAGGTAATAAAGCAGCCATCCACTGAACCTGGCCTCGAATGCTAGCACTGGCTTCAGAGCGTGTGTGTAGAACTGCACTGCTGAACAGTCTCCTCTCACAACGTCCTTAGTTCTGTCTAAGAAGTGGTGGCATCATTCCTCTGTCTCCATGAATAGACCTTTGAGCATCTGAATGCCTCAGAATCTAGCCGAAGACTGACGGGAGATCATTCAAAGAAGAAAACACTGGGCTGAAAAACCCAGATTCTTGACTATGGACTTTTGACTAGTGGTGCTTTAATGTCTTTCCTTCTTGGACACTACATTTGAGAAGGAAGAAAACATAATAAGTAAGTAAGGATTCAATATCTGCAAAATCTGGAAACTCTGATGAATAGACAATGTTATCAAGGATATCATCAATCTCTAAAACAAAATCTACAGTTTAGATTTTGTCAGCAGTCCAGACACTTTAATGAATGTTATCATGAGGAAAGTATGGAGTGGAATGGTGATAGACAAAGACATCTATTCTGGGTTAGTCAGCTTTCTGTTAATGTAACAGAACCACTGAGATGGGCAACTTAAAAAGAAAAAAGTTCCCAGCCCTGGGGCAGAGACAGGTGAATCTCTGTGAGATTGAGGCCACCCTGGTTCACATGATGACTTCCAGGTGAGCTGTGACTAGGGAGACCCTGTCAATAAACAATCAACAACAAGAAAGAAAGAGGAAGAAAGAAAGAAAGAAAGAAAGAAAGAAAGAAAGAAAGAAAGAAAGAAAGAAAGAAAGAAAGAAAAGAAAAGAAAAGAAAGAAAAACAGAGAGAAAGTTTTACTTTGGCTACTGATTTCAGAGGCCATGGTTGGTTAGACCAGGAAGCCACAACCACTTTGAGGGCGTGCCCCAGAGACCTAAAACCTCCCACTGTGCTCCACCTCTTGAAGGTTTCACCACATTCCAATACGTCCAAGTTGAGAACGTTACCTTAGTACAGGGGCCTTTAGAAAACATTCCAGCTGCTGGCAATGCATATCCCGAGCTCTTGGAACAAGGAAGGCTGACTGAAGGCAGAGACAGCTGATGCCTAGAGAACGGGTAAAGAAGGGAAACAGACGTGGGGCCACATTCACGATTCTACAGGTAGGGACAGGCTTTTCTCCATCCAAGAAGGCCCTCAGGTTCCTCAGGGGACCAACAGGTGCCACTACAGGCTTTCTGTATCGGGGCATTGTCATCCAAACGATTTTCTAAAAATGCTTGGCAGACCGCAGTGTTTTCTCTTTTTAAGACAGGGACTGTCCTTCTGTCTGCGTTGATTCTCTCTACTGACCCTGCACCCCCTCTTGGTTGCTGTGTCCAGTCCATTCTTACTAGAGAACGGTTTTCATTCCAAACTGTGTCTGTCATTTGCTGACTGTATGAGTCCTACCCTCATCAAATTCAGATAAAAATTAAATGAGATAATGTAGGTTGAAGACTTGATAAATTGGAAAACACTCTGTAATTGGCAGCTATTATTATTATTACTATTACTATTGTTAAAATGATTATAACAGTTATTATTCCCGTGGAAGTTATGTTATTAGCCCAAGGTCACATGGGAAACCTCTTACCCCAGTGTTAAGTATGCAGAACAGCTCACAACATTTCAAAGATTCTTCCCTTTGGATGCAAACATCCCTCACACCCAGCCACCTTGTGCTCTGTTCAGGGTTCCAGGACCACTGCCAAACCATACTGCCCAGGCTCTGCCCCTACCGTGCTTCAGTTCAGCACAAGTCCGCTGGTGTGAGCCATGGTTGCCAAGGCTCCAAAAGCACAGTTTGCATTTATTTTGTTTAATTCTTACTTTATGTCTCAGCCTCCTCCGAAGTGCATTTGTTCACAGAAAGAGCCACGTGGGGAAGTTCAGCCCACAAATAAGAATATAATTATTACACAGTTTAGCAGTGCCTGGGCGTCACCCTGGGTATTCACGGATGCTTCGCAATTCAATTGTCTCTCCTTCAAGACCATATTTAATAGGATAAACAATTTCTGCTAAATGCAATAAACGTGAACCTGGGCTGTCATCTCCATAATCAACTCAAATTTCCCATTAGAAGCAGTAGTTGTGATTGAGATTCAGAATTTAATTTGCTGGTGCTCGCTTCGATCTGCTACTGTCAGCTTCCGGGAGTCTCGCGTCAACCAAAGACAGAACCGCTTTTCCCTGTCTCGGGGGACTCTTAAAAGAAGATAGATTATAACTCAAGAAAATTATACGGCCTCCGTATAATGAAAGAGATAAAATATTATTGCATTAGCCTGTTGAAATAACAGCAGAGAGCAAAGCAATAATATTAAGCTAAACAAGGGCCCAGACCCGTCAGCTCGATCGCAGGGGACGAGGGGATGGAGGGAGGCAGACGGAACCCCCACTCTCCCTGCCACGGCCCCAGGCAGTGAAAGAGCAGCTCCTTCCCAGTTCTGTTGACTCTGGAGACAGCTGGCTGGGCCAGACTGGAGCAGAGCCTTGGCGTCATGACTATGCTCAGCTCTCAGGGCCCAGCACCAAATCTAACAGCACAAAGCAGGCGACCTCCCCCCACCCCGTCCATTAAAAGTCATCTGAAGTTCCTCAGCCAGGCAGGAAGTACCCACGAGCAAAAAACTCTTCGAAGATATTTTAATAGGATGGAATGAACAAGAGATGGTGAGCTTAACCTCTAACTTGGCATTTTAAAACCTAAAAATATTTCGGTAGCTTGGACATCAGTTGTCCTCTTCAAGCATGTCCCCGAATGGTATTTTCACAGACAGTCTCATGTTACTGGGGACAGAAGGCGGAGCTACACAGCACACTACCTTAGGACACCGCCAACAGCTCAGTTCAGCTGCTCCTCAACCCATTTTCCAGCCATCAACACTTCCATTTTCCCTTGTCTTCCTTGGGCTTCCAGTCATGTTGCTGATCACCATTCGGGTTTGCCTACAATTTCTGTTGCCAATGTGCACGACCATACCTTTCCTTGGCTCAGCATCAAAGAAACTGAAGGACCCCAAACCACCCTCCTCACAAGGCACCAGAGATGTCTCAATAACGTGGGACACAAAGGAACACACATGCTCAAACACATATCCACTGCATTCTGGTTCATTTTATTTCATGAACAGTTCTTAACTAATCACGTGCTCACATTCAGAGAGAGGAAGGTGAGCCTCGTAGCCAAGAGTTTAAAACTCTGAGGCCCCGTTTGCAGCCCAACTCTGTCACTTCCTGTGTGATCGTGGTGAAGTCACTAGATTCCCAAACTTGTTTCCCACATATTCACCTTTTATGGTTGTCACCCAGTGATGCTGGCTGTCATGATTGCTGAACAAAACTGTGTGCTTATCAAGGGGTGAACAACTTCTTACCAATTCACTGATTATTATTAGGCACCTACTGCTATGTAGTAACCAGTTCTCAACTCCGTTTCTGGCTTTTAGACCATGTGAGGGTAACAAGCATGTAGAGTAGACAAAGGGAGGTTTACAAAGATGCTTTACCTCACAAAGATTTAGGATTATTAACTCATCATTTATTAAAATAGCAAAAACCATTATGTTTACTTTAAAGATCTGAGTGGCACTGCCTTTTACTGTTGGCAGCCCTGAGTGGGAGCTGGGATGGGAGCGAAGCTGGCTGAGTCTGTGAGGTCCAGAGCCCATGCTGTATACAGCCCACAGCTAGATCACTGCTAGGAGTGCTCCCTCTCCTAACAATTGAGTGTTTCCAAAGGAGGGCCTGAGCAGAGGCTGCCCCCATTCTGCGGAGGTGGATTGTTACACTGCCTTTGTCTCGTCTTATGTCCTCCAGAGCATGAAGACCAGCTGGACCAGCAGCTCCACTTCCCGTCAGTGGGGATATCTATAAGAAAGAAGGTCAACAAACATCAACTGGTCCTTCTATTCTGGTGCCCTATGAGGTGGGTGAATACACCAACAGGCTTGGAGACTCTGAACCTACCTTCCAAATAAGGTTCTTTCTCTCTGGCCACTGGTTACCTGGCTGTCTCCTACCACAAGTCATTTGCATATGTCAATCTCCTTGCCCAGGGCAGTCTTATTTCTCTTATTCATCAAATCAATCCTATTACCCCTTCAGATCTCAGTAAATGTGTATTTCTTTATTGAAACCTCCCCAGACCCTTAATGTCCACCAGTTCACAATACTTGAAGTTCTCAGAGCATTTGTGATGGTTATTACAATTGAAATTTTAAACTTTACAGTTGTCATAATCCTATTCATTACTGTACAGACTGACTTGCATTTATAATGAGGTATACAAATAATTTAGAATGATGTTTATTTTATTTATTTTTATCTTATGTGTATAAGTGTTGTGCCTGCATGAGTATAAGGCACCCGTGTAGTGCAGTGCAGTGCCCTCAGAGAACAGAAGAGGGCGTCGAATCCCCTAGAACTGGATTTATGGATGGTTGTTAGCTGCCATGTGGGTGCTGGGATTTGAACCTGGGTCTTCTGCAAGAGCAGCCAGTGCTCTTAACCACTGAGGCACCTCTCCATCCCTAGAATGATATCTAATATGCTGGAGAAGCAAAGTAAACATTGCTTTACTCTAGGATTAATTCTTTGTATTTTAGAGCTATTAAATCATTTATGCTTTGCAACAACCCCATCAAGTCCATGTTGCTGACGTCCCCCATTGTATAGAAGAAGAGACTAAGGATCACTGATCACACAGTGAGTGTAGGAACCCAGGTTCAAGTCAGCAGCCTTTGAAACCTTAAATGAATTTGTGGGACAACTCAAATAGCAGAACACACACACACACGCACAAATCACTAAGCAGCATTTGTGCATGAGTCATAGAGATACAGAGGTCAGCCAGACATGATACTACTTACAGAGGGAGGGGATACAATGTGTAAAGAGCTGTGTTACACACAGTTTCAAAGTCCTATGGACATCCACAGCAGGAATTGCTTACAGGAATTTTAACAGAGGAAAGGCATCTGTCCTGGATTGTGAGGGTTTGGTAGTGCAAGGAGAGCAAGCTTTTCCACAGTAATCCTAGAAGGGTTGGCGAATGCCACACAACAACAGCCCTGTACCATGGAGCATCCCCATGCCAGCAATGGAGATGATGGAATCCTGAAGGAGTCAGGTGAGATCCCAAGCACAGCGGCGGCAGCCTCCTCGCCCATACCCCACCTTGCTCTTGTTCTTGTGAGTTATTTCCTACATTTCTCCAGAGTCTCTTTTCCAACCAACTCTGGAAGAGTACTTACCTTTCCGATAGGTGACTTCACAGGCTGAGCCTTGGAAGCCAGCTGGGCAGATGCAGTCACAACGGGATTCTTAGCAAAATAAGCAGAGAGTATAAATCACACCCTGTGAAACAAGGACCTTGGAGCTCAGTCCCCATATAAGTGCAGTCACTGGGATAGTTTGCAATAGGTAGGTTCAGTGCCAAGACTGGATCCCTTCCTGGAGGTCCTTTGCTCATGAAGGCGTGTGTATTGCTATCATGAGGAATTATTTGGCACTGTGAGAAAATTGCTCCTCAGCTGGCCTCTGACCCTTCGCACCCCATATTGGCAAGGGCATTCACAAGGGATTTCTTCTGCCTAACCCAGACACTTTTCTTTGTCCAGAGTTTGGCTGACTCTATCTCTGACTTTAACACAGATCATATGATCATAGCTTTAGGCTTCAGCTAAAGGCTGCTGTGACCCCTATGTCTCTTGAGGCTGGAGTTCAGGTGTCCTGACACCCAAAGCAGAACTTGCTGCCCCTGCTCTTCTTGCGAAGTAGAAAGAAGCGGGACCAGACCTGGACTCCTCCAGCTAACACCTCCAAAAAAGGACTGCGGTGGCCTGGATATGGTACCTTTCAGGACAGGGATACCGTTGCCTTGGCATGGAGCACAGTGGCAGGAGCTGACTTCCATCTGGAACTCCTCTAGTGCCTTCTTTATGTTCTGCTTCACTGTGCTAGAGTAGGCAAAGTCCATGGCTGTCACCAGCTCATATAGGGGTTCAGCCTGGAACAAGGGAGGAAAGCTATTCAGCAACTAGAGGCCAAAATCAAAGCTACAGGGAAATGGCAGTAGATGGTGTCCATAGAAGGGTCTACATGGAACAGGCTGGATGCCGCAGTGTGACATCCGATGCTCATCTTCTCTGCCTGTCCCACCTCCTGGATATGTTTGCTCATTCAAGTTCATATCAACTAACAAGGAATCTCTACTAAGTTTTGGGCATGAGTCCTCTATTATCCATAATGTAAGAGACTCTCTACTCCCTCTGAATCTAGAAACAGAGACAAACACACAATAAAGAGCTACAGGCAGTCTCTGATTAGACACTGAGCCCCTGGGAGCAGGGCTGGTGCTGCTCACTCTGTCTTTGGGTGCAATCCTCAGATTAGGGGTAAAGAGGATGACTGGATGAAGGGGGCCAATGGAGGACCACAGTAGGCCAGTGACAGTGGGTGTTAGGAGAGGGAATGACTGTTAGAAAAGTACAAGCGGAAACCACAGTTGCTGATCATTAGGTGTACATGCAGAGTTGTTGTGGGTGAGAAGAACCAGGGCACAGTCCAAATTACTGGCTTGACCTGGCTCCTCTGGGTTCAAAATGAAGTTCCCAGGCCAGGTTCCTTTCCAGATTTTGTTTGTGATCCTGTCCTAATTCAGCCCTGGAGAGTTTAGGGTCTGTCTAAATGCAGGCAATCATGTCTAATAGAAGCCTCCAGTGGGAAGAAAATTGCTTCCATTTCTTAATGCATCTGATGCTGACCTTCGCTCCAGTGGGCAAAGCAAGGCCCCTTGGAGGCCCCATTGTCTCACCAGTCTGTGGTCAATGAATTGATCCAGAGGCTGTTTTCAGAACCGTCCAGCCTGCTGGCCACACAGGGGGAGGGAAAACGGAAGTTTGCTTTGCACCACAGATGAGACTCTCAACAGTCAGCTTTTGGCTTTTGCTCCAAGCTCCTTGAAAGGCCTTCTTTAACCACCACAGCGTTTTCCTATCAGGGCAGAGTGAGTTGGCAGCCAAGCCTTCCACAGTCACTGTATCTTAGTAACTGTGTGAGGTTTATAAAAAGTATCTGCTGCATCCTCACAAGGTAATGGTTATTATTGTCAGGTGAGGGGGAAGTAGCTTGATTCAGGTCACACAACTTATAAAACAACTGTACCAAGGTTGCAGCCCTGAGAATGCCAGGACTGAAGCCTCTGTTTTCCCCACAGGTTTAAGATGATTATTGACACAACTGGTTTAAGAATTCATGTCACCAGTCTCTTCTCCCGTGTTCGCCAAACTTTGCAGGCTCTGGTGGTTTGCGCTGGGGAGGTAGCAAGCCACAGGGTGTCAGAGAAGCCTTTACAATTTAGGTTAATGTGGCGTGTGCCCGTTCTTTGCTGCCCTGTTCCTTTGCTCCTTTCTCCTCCTTTCCCACCCTTTCTTCTTCCATCCTCTCCTCCCTTTGTCCCTTCCCTGTTCCTTTTCTTTCTGTACCTTTCCCTCACATGCTCATCCCTAAATACAATGGTCACTGAGGTCCTTAACACACTTGCCCTTGTGAGCATTTTATTTCTTATACCATTGCAAAGAGTGCTGAGGAACGTCTATCATGCTCCATGCAATTCTCTATAGTTCATTCTGGTGCTCTTATGGTATCAATGGGACACTGATCTAAGTACTCCACACACATCACCTAAACCTTCACAGCAGTTTGAGAATCGAGTGGCCTTTATGTCCTTCTCCTATGGACAAAAAGGCAAAGGCCCAGTAAAGATAAGTCAACTGACACCAATGGGGTGTCTGACCTCAAGGGGTGGACTTGAACTGTCGGTATAGTGGTTTGTTTCCTGTCAGGTAGTCTATGTTTTTATATAGGTGGGGAGATAGGTACATCAAATTTGTTCTTAAGTGCAATTTTATATACTGTTTTTCACATATCATAATGTGAACCTTTCTCTGTAGGACTCAATCTGTGCTGATTAAATAGCCTTCCATGGCTTCCTAGCACCTGTCATGTAGATAAACCAGTTATTCCTTTGGCTTCTCTCTTGTTCAGTTGTTACCTTTGCTTTTGCCATTACAAGTAACCAAACTCATACGTCATTATACATATATATTTACAAAAAACTCAAACTGAATCAAAAGCTATCAACAATCTTAGTGTTTTGGGTGTGTCTGTTTAAATTCTCTTCCTAGAGTTGAACCAAATTATATTCCCGTCCTATCTTACAAACAGTGCTTTGAGTATTATAGATTCTAGACCACTGTCAATTTGATATGTAAAATAATCTTGCACTGTTACATTTTAATTTTTTTGGCAGAGATGGTAAATGTTTGCCTATTAGGTAACTGATGATTTCTCTTTTCTTTGAGATGTATCTTTCTTATAAATTGTCATTCCTGATAAGTATTTCATTTGTGGAAAATCATTACTATTGTCATCATTATTATTAGTGATCTATCTGCTATGTTGAGATCTGTATACTAACTAGCATTGTGGTTTGTGTGTGTGAGTGTGTGTGTGAGAGTATGTGTGTGTGTGTGTGTGAGTGTGTGTGAGAGTGTGTGTGTGTATGAATGTGTGTGTGAGTGTGTGTGTGTGAGTGTGTGAGTGTGTGTGTGAGTGTGTGTGTGTGTGTGTGTGTTTATATTGGTACACATGGAGGCAAGAGGTCAGCTTGGTTATAGTTCAGGAGTCATGCACCTTGTTTTTGGAGACAGTCTCTCACTGGCCTGGCTGGATCTTATGGCCTAGGCTAGGCTGGCTGGCCAGTGAGCCCAGGAACCTGCCTGTCTCTTCTTCCTCAGCACCAGGAGTACAAGCTCATGCCACCACACTTGGCTTTTTTACATGGGTTCTAGGCCTCAAACTCATGCTTGCATGGCAAACATTACCAACTGCGCTGTCTCCCAAGTCCCCAGCTGAAAATGTTTTACTAGACAAGCACTACTGCACTGCGTTTTAAGCTTTCTTTTGGTTGGAGTAATTTGCTTTGAGAAAATCCTTGGATGAGCTGCTTTTGGAAAGGCACAGTGGTCATTACTACTGCTTGTCAAAGATGTCAGCATTTCCTTCTGGACACAAACCCCTTGGTAGGTTCGCTCATGAGAAGGCTGCAGCTTTTCAGAAGCAGGTTTGCAATGTGGCTTGTTCTGACCACTGAGGGGTGAGCAGGAGAGCATCATTTCAAATTAGAAGTCATCAGAATGGGGTGAGGTAACTTCTAATCGCTTGTGTGGTGATCTTAGGGGCTCATGACAAGATAAAGCTCTCATTATCTAGGATCTCAATGACTACATTGAGCAAGCTCTCTTTCCAATACTTCTTGGACATGTGTAATTGGGAAATAAACTTATACTGAACTAAGCTACTGATGTCTGGAGGTCTGCAGTATGACCGAGATATCCTGACCTCTGTGTGAACAGTGTTCATATTTTCTTCTTCTACCCTGGGCCACACCAATGTCTTCTCCATCGGCCTGAGTCCAAGCCTACCACCTACTTTGACCAGTGTAGAAGCATGCATAGGTGACAGACCATATGATTAGGATTACCAGTTAAATACAGGACACCCAATTCTACCCAAATGTCAGATAAGGAATAATGAAAGGATAAGTTTGTGGGGCTAGACAGATGGCTCAGCTGTTAAGGCACTGGCTGCTCCTGAAGAAGAGGTGGGTTCAGTTCCCAGCACAAACACGGTGTCTGATAACTGTCAGTAACTTCGGTTCCCACGGATCTGACACCCTTTTATGTCTCTGTGAGCAGTGCAATGGGTGTACTTGTGTACATACAGGAAAAACATTCATACACAGAAAAGATAAATAAATAAATAAATAAAATAATTTTAAAAGTATAAACATATGCCATGCAATTCATGGGCGATACTTATACTTTTAAAAATTCCTTATTTATATGAATTCAAATCTAAGTCAAATTTAACCGGGTACCCTGTATTTTCATTTGCTAAGTCTGGTAACTCTTTTGTTTTGTCTAAAATGCCTTTACAGTTAGTCACCTACTTAAGAGCATTTCACCAGGTCACAAACTTTTCCCTTGAAAGACGGAAGGGTTGCTGTTGGAGTGTATGCTTGAATGACATCTGTTTGATTTTTATTCTTGGAGGAAACCTTTGTTCCTAAAAGGAAAACATTTCAGCAGGATGTTTTGGTATGGTTTTGTTTTTAGTGCTCTCACCAGGTTTGCAGCAAGGCGTTCGTTCTGAACTGTCAGTGCAGGGAAGGGCTCTCATTGTGTGCCTGATGAATGTACCCTCAGAGTTAATCTTGTCTCTTGCTCAGGGAGAAGTCTTTGTATTTTAGATTTCGACTTCTGCACTCTATTCATCATTTTTCTTTTCCATCATTGTTTTAATCTCTTTGTCTTTTGTTTCTGCATCATAAGAGCATTTTTTACGGCACCTTCCACATCACCGACTCAATTTTCTGCAGTGTCAAATCTGTTCTTTATAGTTTCTAACACAGGTTTTAATTCTGCCACTGAGCTCTTGGATCCCCATCTCCAGCCACTTCCCTTTTATCTGATTAGTGCCTAAAACAGTTCAGCTTCTGTTTTTAGTTCATAAATCCCTTGTTTTCTTGTCATCACAAAGCAAAAGCACTCTCAGATTTACTCTTCTTTTTCTACTTTATAGGCATGTGTTCATTTTCTGCATCTTGAACATAATTTCCATCCTCTGTGTTCAAAAACCTCTTTATTTGTCCATTGACATCTCTAATTCTTTTTTAAACAAGGTGCCACCTCTTCTTGTCTAGGTTTACCAGGAAATAATATGAGCAACTTCTTCTCTGTCTATAGAAATCCTGTTTCAGAACTTCTCTTTAAAGGTACATGCATGTACTCAGGCAGGAGCAAGCACTCTTGTGTCTGGGAATTGCTTACCTAGCAGGCTCTGCTGTCCTGAAAACTGGCCATTGCTCCAGTCACCTGGAAAGCTGGCTCTGTAGAGGCCTTACCCTGAGATCATGTGAAGCCACCTTCAGTTTCCATGACTAGAGAAAGTACAGGAAGGCAGGAGTGCCTGAGCCTGTCTTTGCAGCCCAGGTGACAGAACTACAGTAAGTCTCCCCAGCTCCTGCTTTCTCCTCTCCTGTAGAACTCCTTAAAACACTTCCGTCTAGCACATCTCACTCTGCCTCCCTGGTGACTTGACCTTGACAATCCCTGGCCCAGGAGGGCCTACTGGGCATCACTGGGAGCCAAGCTATTCTCTTGGGTCTCGGTTTTAACAAATACCAGATAAGAAATCTCAGTACCAAGGTGAAAACCAGATGCCTATCCTCCCCCCTTGCACTCTCTGTTCTCTCCTACACCTAGCTCTGATGTCAACCAGTGTTACCACTGCATCAGTCAAGCTCAGATTTCTCTGGAGATGCCTGCAACCCATGGCTGACAGTATCTCTCTTGTGATTGTCAGTGACTGTGCCCTGAGTGTCACTTATGAGTAAATAGGAAGCCGAGAATTGAATGGCAGCTGTCTTGTTCAGCAGAGCTATGCATTTGACACACAAACTCAGGTCCTGTGGAAAATTATAAAGGTCAGGACTGCACAGTCTCCTTAAGGTCTGACTTCCCATTTTCCCTCTTGACTGCAAAGAGGACTCTCAAGGATGGACAATGGTCCATCAATGACAATATAGGAACCAGTGTGAAGAGAATAGTGTGAGGTATGCTATGGGCACTATGCAGACATCCCCACAGGCAAGGACCTACCATTGCTGATGTGTATGACAGTCCTGTTTTAACGAACATCTTTTTAGTTTACAATTGCAAAGCTCTTCTTGTGTGGGTGACAGGTGGTTAGAATCATTATTTTCTATTCACCAAGCCCACAGAGGACTGTGGAGAGGAGGAAAGAAGTCTGAATCTCTTGTCTGGACCTGACAGAGATTCTTGAAGCCACAGATGGACATGACCTCCCTGACCCTTGATTTGTATCAGTAAGCGCACTTAACTTGAAGATTGCTATAAGAGTTTCATGAAATAACATTCCTAGTGCTCTAGCAGAGTGATGTGAGCTCAGTAGGTACTCCAAATATGTTACTCATCATCAAGATGTCTTGCTCTGCCCTACAAGACAGGTATGCATGCAGCTGGCTTACTGTCCTTTCGAGGCTGCGTCTTTCATCTTGGCATGTCTTTGTTTCCTCCGGCTCCTTAGTTCTTGTGGCATGGTGGAAACTTAGCAACTATTTGTTAGTCAACTGTATGCACATTTAAATAAATAACTGAATGAGTGAGTCTCTGTTGAAATGGAAAGAATACTAATTTAATAAGGCTAGAATCATAACCTGGTTATTAATTTCCTTAGCAACTTGGGGCCCAAGTGAGAGGGGGCTTGGGAATCTTTAGGTGACATGAAGCACTGTATCCTAACCTGTTTATCCTAGATATATTTTCTGTTCGAATGCATGTGTCTCTGATGTTGATCTCCACATTTTAGACCCAGCTCACAGCTGACCCATGTTCTACACAGAGGTGGGGATGGGGTGACTGCCTGTACCTTGAGTTTGATGATAGCTGGGTTGTACTGCACAGCATCTCCCCATTCCTGCATCAGTTCAGCTGTTGGCAGCTCCTTGTACGCCAAGGCCGTGATGTGTTCACTTGCCCCTCCTTGCACAAGAACTACTAAGTCTTCTACTATGGTGTTCCTCTTGTTTCTGTCTGGAATGGATAGGAAGGCCGGATTATACCATCAGAGGATCCACTTTTATGCCCTGAAGTTTGCGGCAATACAGCCAACAATTGGGTTACTATAATATTTACTGAAGTTGTCTGGGAGACATGGGAGAAGAAGATATATCCCTGATCATAGGGAAGTCGTGATGTTTGGGGCAAATGGGAAGTTTACCTAATCGCATTATAATTACTCAAAAGAGAAAGTAACCCAAGTGGTCCTTCATAGATGGAAAAAGAAACGGACACAGAAAAAGTAATATGTTAGGACAATAAAATATTATGTACCAACAGAAGTGAATAAATTATAGTTTGTGGTAGTTTGAATGAGAACGTCCCCCATAGGCTCAAATATTTGAACACTTGGTCCCTAGTTGGTGGTGCTTTCTGCAGATGTTTAGAAGGTGAGGCCTTGCTGGAGGAAGTACGTCACTGGGGGAAGGCTTTGAGAGCTCATAGCCTCATCCCACTCCCAGCTGCCCTCTCTCTTCTTTCTGTTTGCTGTTGGAGATGTAGTTGTTCAACTCCTTCTGGCTGCCACGCCTGGAGCCTGCTGCCATGCCTCCCCACCACGATGGACTCTTAAAACTCTGGAACCATAGCCCAAATAAACTCTTCCTTCTATAAGTTGCCTTGGTCTTGATGTTTTCTCACAGTAATGGAAAAGTAACTAATGCATAGTTATGTGCAAAAACATGATGTTGGGTGAAATATGCAGGACTAGAAAAATTATGGCAATACAAAGCCATATTGGTTAGTGATACATACAGATAGAGAACTACAAAGAACTTACAGCATAGAAGCTGGGGTGGTGGGTAGTTACCCAGAAAAAGGAGGAAAGCGTTGCAAATAGCACGGTTCACGGACCTGGACAGCGTTACAGTGCAAGCCTTCTTGAAAGAGTATCTATGCTTGTTGTGCTCTGCTGCACTGCAGTGAACACTATCAAGTCAGTCTCAAGTGTAGGAGGCTGCTCTAGACCAGCAGTTAATTTCTGTGTTTGTGCTTACTGTATATTGTTTCCCATGTGGAATTCTTCCTATGACATGGCAGGGGCCTGGCAGATAGAACAAAACAAAGAAGCCTTGGTGGAGGCAGAGGGCCTGGGCCCTGAGTGCTGCTGTCCAGTCTCTTTCCTACTGCACCTGTCCTTGATTCCCAGCTTCCTCCACTGCTGCCAAGTGTGTGCTTCCAAGCCTGGTTAGCTTTCATTCCCAACTCAAGGTGACCTTTCCTGCCATTTGGTTCCTGCTTTATGGCCTGTGGCTTTGCCAGATTTGCTGTTTGCTCTGGCGCTCTTATCTCAGGCAAGACTCAGCCTTCTCGCCCTGCCTTGGTGAAGGTAAGCATCCTATCCTATGCCTGAGCATCCTATCTCCAGCCAGGCCAATTCTTAGCCCCCAGAGTACAGTGATACTATTAGGCTATTTTCTTTGCCTGAAAATGACCTTGAGACTGACTGTCATCTTGACTGTCATTCACAACCCCACCCTGAGGCTCCAGTCTGGCCTTGTCATGGCATTTTCTGTTTCTGGCCTGCCACACTTGTATACTGTTGAAAATAGGAGTTTTCTCTCATTAATTTTTGTGTACTTAGCACATTAGTAGAAGCTTGGTAGATTTTTATTGGATAGATTACTATCTTAATTGAAATGCCTTCAAATATCCCATGCTTAGCTTAAAGAAAGCCAGCAGTGCCAGGGAGGAAAAGACTGCACGTGCGGAAGTCCCATGCCTCTCTCTCTCACCTTTGATCTCATTCAGAAGGTCGCTGCATTTCTTTTCTGACATACCCAGACTGAGGTAAACTTTCTTGATGGTACCACCAATTTGGAAACCTTCTTTGGCACAGGCAGAAATGCTGTCAAGAGTGTAGTCTGAAAAAAGCAAGGAAAGATGTCCATGAACTACTAAGTAATGCACTCTGTCCCCTTTCCTGTGATGGACTCTAAACCTGACCCTTACTAGATGTCACTGGGACTTGGGTTCAAATGAACATGTCACAAGTCTGATGACAGGAAGTGCAGGACAGGAGACAGCCACTGGTACCAGGAAAGAGACACCACAGACACCAGTTCCTACTCCAACTTCCAGGACTCTCTGAGGATACTTGTCACTTCCAAAGAGGTCATTTGTTCAGAGCTAGCTTCTAAAAATCATACTCCTCATCAAGTGCCTAGTGATAGATCCAGTACCTAGATAGATAGATAGATAGATAGATAGATAGATAGATAGATAGATAGATCCAGTACAACCCCGTACCTTCCCCTGGTCTATCTTTCTCTAATTTTTAACAGGAGAAAAAGTTAGTAGGAATTGTA